ATATGACTTTAGGAAAATCACTCTGACCTCTCTGGGTCTTACCTTCTTCACCTACAAAAGAATAATACTCAAGACTAATATTTACTAAACATAGTATATGGGCACTATTCTGAGCACTCTGTGCATATTAATTAATGTTATCCTCATAATAAACTTATACATTTCATGATCTCTATTTCTCAGGTGAGAGAGAAAAGTGAGGTACAAGGACACTAAATGACTCCCCAAGGTCATAAAGCAATTAGGTGGCAATTAAAATTTAAATCAACTCAGTCTGGCGTGAGAGCCCAAACTGTTAACCATTACACTATGCTACCTACTCACATGCAGGAGTGAAATTTTTAGACATCTATTAAGTTGTCTACATCTAGTTATAACAGGTTAACTGGCATAATATGTAGGTTGAGGAAATGGACGTATTTTAAAAATGGAATGGTGGAGATCTGCAATGCTATGGTGACAAAAGAAGCCATAATTGGGAAAATGGTCTAACCTGAATGACACCCTCATCTCCATGCATAGCCAGAACTTCCCCACCTGGGGACTTTACGTTATTTTTTTTCATCAAATTTTTTGAGTTATAATTTATATGCACTGTGTATAGTTCTGAGTTTGGATAAAGGTATATGCCTGGTAACTACCACTGCCACAACCCCAAAAGGTTCTGTGGTGTCCCTTAAAGCCAACCTCCACCCACGCAAAGTCTTGGGCCACCACTGATCTGCTTTCTTTCTGTTAGTAGAGACAGAATATCGCATAAATGAAATCATATACTCTATTTTTTTTTAGTCTGTATTCTTTTGCTTACTTAGCAGGACATTTTGTGAGCTTTCCTCCAAGGAACAGATCCTTCTTCATATCCACAAATCCTATCTACCCTTCAAGGCTCATCTCAAATGATAGGTTTTACTTTTTTCCTTACTTCAAATCCTAACCTGAATTATACTGAAGTACTTCCTCACAGTAGTTATATAAATAAAATCACATGAGTGTGGAATTTTTTCTACTCAAAATTTGTATGTTATCCACTTATAATCAATCGTTATATTTACCAAGTCATATCTCTAAGTCACCTCTTTAAACATCTTTAATTTTTTTTTGGGCAGGTTGACTTGCAAGTTTTGCATTTAGACATTTTATTTTCTGCATAATATCTTGCTTTTAGTTGACATAACAGGGAAGATGTAGATGAAAACCATTTCACCCTTAAGAGCAATGACAGGGAATTTTTAAAATGATAATCATCGACCCACAAAAAAAGCAACATAAGTTAAAAGATAATTTAGATATCTGCCCCAGAGAGAACACTCTTTTGCTTTTAAAAATGTTTTAAAAAGGAACTGACAGTTCCTTTTAAAATGTAATATAAAATTTTACTTGAGATTATTATTCAGTATAATATGCTTCCCATTTTTTTTTTAATTTGGGAAGTAATATGAGGAAAAAGATTAAATGAAGGGGAAGAGAAACAAAAAAAAGCTATTAGAAAGATCTGAACATAGGAGAATTGCTTGGACCCAGGAGACGGAGGTTGCAGTGAGCCGAGATCGTGCCACTGCACTCCAGCCTGGGTGACAGGGCAAGATTGTGTCTCAAAAAAACAAACACAAACAACAAAAAGGATCTGAACATAGAAGATAACATATAGACACAAAGAGACTTACAGGCTCACAAAGAAAACACCACCAAGAAAAACACATAGATCTAAAAGAAGGGCAAATACAGGACATGCATACACTTAGAAGGTAACATATTCTTTTATGCCATAATATTCCCATCTTCTGGTCTTTTAGGGTATTTCCCCTAAAAGATTTTAAAGTCAAACTGTTTCCCATTATAAGCATAAATGGGAATCACCTCTTGGCACACATGCTAAGTTGCGTCAATTGAATTAAGCTGAAGGCTAGAGACTAGAAAACCCCGACTCTGGTCTAGGACTTCCAGCTCTTACACAGATAATGAAGCCCAGGTCACAAAGATAATGAACTTGATGCTTCTTATCCAATTCCTGTGCTAAGAGCATGGGGAAGATCCAAGTCCCATTCTCTTCTCTAACCCCAGCCATGTTTTCTTCTCCCACTTCCATCTTCTTTGGCTCTCCCCACAATTTATCCCCCTTTCCCCAACTTCCAGCAGTACCAGCAATTCCCAGGAAGATCAACTCCATCTGACTTCTACCCTCACCACAGTTGCATGCCTGTTTATTGAATAAAAAGTGTTGGTGTGAGAAGCAGGAAAGTAGGAAGCACACCTTGTGTATGATCATCCTGAGAGAAGAAAGAAGGTGGTTCCATACTTACATATGTGATATTCCATTCAAACTTGATGGTGAGCACGTGACCAAAGCTTGTCCAAACAGAGCCTAGAATACCTTGGCCACAGTGATTGATTCAAGAATGGGTTGTTGGCTCAAACAGTTCCCTGCAAAGGCCTCTAGGTAGTGTTGACAGGTCAAATCAACTAGACTGCTATTCACTCATTCATTCACTCTATGAGTATTACAGTGTCAGGCATTCTGCACAATACAGGCATGGTTTAAACATCTTTAATTTTTGGGGGGGCAGGTTGACTTGCAAGCTGAGAAGGGGTATAAGAAGGGCTTGGGGGTCTCCAGGAAGAGGTCAGGAGGCAAGTGAGTTGTATGCTCATAGATCACCTGCTAGTGCTACTTTTGAGGTATATGAGTTGATTGATTGATTTTTTGCGGGGGAAGGGAAAGGTCCACAAAAGAAAAAAATTGTGATTAACCTTTATAACCAGAATTTTAACTAATAAATGTCTATTTCAGTCAATTGAAGAGCTGTGGAAGCTTAAGCTGGGTATATAAACAGCAAAAATGAGGAAGCAAGAATAATCAGAAAGTATGTTGTGGGAGTACAGTTTGAAAAGGCTTTCAGGGGAAAGTGGATTTTGAAAACAATTTAAATGTTTATGGTGGAAAATGATAGTAGAGATAAAAATTGATGGCCCTTCTGGTGTGGGCTATGGCTTATGCAAAGATGCTGTGCCAAAAATTAATAAGGTGTCATGCAGGCTGGCTTACAGGGGAGGAACAGAGAGAAGGCAGACATAGAGTTCCAGCTGGAGACTTGGGTTAGATCATAGGTCTTAATAATGAGAATGAATAATTGCTAGTTATCTCCTGGCCAAGATCTCAAATTCTGGAATGCCCACCCAGCGTCCCGGGTTCCTGAGGCTCAAAGGAGACCTACACCAAGCACTCAGGACATTTTGGCCAATATCCCGTTATTCCTCCCTAGAGCTCTGATCCCATTTTCCTATCTGTGCTCTCTCCTGGGGGGATTTTGCCAGACCATGTATGAGTCAGGAGAACATATCTTTACCTGGGCCATGGTTGGGTGAGGTGTCTGTGTAGTGGACGTTTTGAATGTTGGCTGCTTTGCTCCTATTTCTTCCTCCTTTTGGTAATGGCATCCTGACATCCCATTAGAGATTCACTCGCCTCTTACTCTAAGTTTATGTAGTTGGGAGGACTCATAGCATCAAGGAGGGATCCATGACCTAGAAATGGTCAATAAACTTGGTTTCTGGGACTTTTACAGGATATACTGGGAAGCAAGGAGATCCTAGTTTCAAGATGCTATAGAGGCTGAAAATTGCTAACTGGGGAATGAAGAACAGAAAGATGAGATGAAAATACCTAGCTATACCTGGAACACTTCTGATATTCTCAGTAACACAACCCACTACATTTTTCCTCTTTTTTTTTTTTGTTTATGCTAATTTGGTTAGGGCTTTCTATTATACAACAAAAAGTCCCAACTGTGACTGTAGCCTGTCATGGCTTTTTTCTTACAGGTTCAAGCTCTGGTTTTGACCATCTGGATTTTCTTTCCTCATCTGGAAAAGGAGTAATTAGACAGTCGAACTGCCAGGTTTCCCCCTTGAAGCCTGATTTCCCTTCAAACACACCCTGGTCTTGCAGTTTTTTTCAAGAGCTCGCGTTCTTCTTGCATTGGACATGAAAGGTAAGAAAGAAAAGATGATAATATCAACCACCTAAAAGATTGCCCCTTTACTCTGCTACTTAAAACCCCACACCTCAACATCCTCACTACTGAAGCCTTCAGAGTGGTTGACCTTTATTATAGCACCTCTATCTTGGCAGGGTAGGGGTTCTGTGAGAATAAGGAAACCCACAGAAGTTAGAAATTTTAGCCAACAGCGATGGTTGGGTGAGAGGTTCCCATACAAGAAGAGCTGGAAGTTTGTAAATCCAGGCTCATTTGGCCAACTTACACAGTCACTCCTTGTCTTTCATGAGAATCTCTAGTGACTGACACAAGTTGTATGCTCTTTGCTTCTTTGTATCCTTCCCAAAGGGTTTGTGATTGTTGGATTCTGTATACAGAGGTATTCTAGTTATCAAATATGGGAACTCTGCTTAGGTTCTGATTTTTTTCTGTGATAATGACTTCAGTGTTCCTTCTTGAAACATTCAATAACAAACCCAAAGAGTTTTGGGTTTCTGTGCCTTTGATTTGCTTTTGTCCTAAGCTGTGCTTAGCTGACCTGCTGGGTGGCTTGGTATAGGTTGTGAGTAATGTAATGGCTAAAGTGGTGACTGAACACAATAATACTAGCTTTATGCCACTTAGTATATGGAATGTAATAGGTACTAAACAAATACTTCTGACTCTCAAGGGAACAATATTGACCCTATAGACATTAGAAAAATACCCCACTCATTACTAAATCTGTTCTGGTATATCTGAACACTTTTAGGGACCATACTTTAGGTATTCTGAACCTCTGGACTAAAGAACAGTTGAGTCAAGGCTTTAAATCGATAATCAAATTACCACCAATTTTTCACAAATCAGCTCAAGATTTTAAAAAGCCACTTTGAATCCAAAGCTCCATTTAGTGGCCTCATTTAAATACTGCCCGTTTCCAGTAACTACTATCTTTCTTGCCTGGAGTTGCAGCCCAACTCTGCTTTCTTATACAGCAAATTGCTATCTCAGTGAAGGACGCACCTGCCACGCCTCAACTTTCTTGATGTCTGCACAGGAGCCATTGGTGAAGAGCCCTCTCCCAGGTGAGCAGGTATATATATCTTGCAAGGCGTGGGCAATGGAGTAGACTGCTAAGTACACATTGTAGGATATCCGTAAATGTGTGTAATCTATGTAAGGGGTCTCGACACTGCTGATGTTCTCATCCCCTGTACAGAGGGGTCGGAAGGCTGTCGAGCTGTTGCTAAACCTGCCGCCACTTTCTTCGTGACCTCTCAGAAAGTTGTCCACGGGTAAAGGTCCTTTCGCACCTTCTTGGAGGTGGCAGTTAAATGTTTCTTCCCAAAACTCCTTGGCAAAACCATTGTGGACAGACTTCCTGGGATGGACCTTCTTCAGGAATTCCCGGAACCCTGGGATCTGCCCAGCCTTCAGAGCAAATCCAATGGTGCCTCCAACCACATGGAAATATTCGGGCATGGCGATCAGGGAGGAGCTGGCCCAGGCCTCGCTGGCCAGCCAGATCTTGCCTGTGATATTGCGCCGGACAATCTCCTTGATGAGGGGCTCAAGGTCAGGGCCACTGGAGAAAACCACAATGACTTTGGCTGTGGAATTCTGAATCACCTCCACCACCTGCTGGATCTCTTCCTCATCAGAGTACTGGGAGATGAGTTCACTGAAGTCGATGCAGATGTCCCTTTCCTCAGCTTCCTCTCGGAATTTCTCAATCCCTGGCCGCCCGTAGTCATCATCAGCTGCAATTGTGCCCACCCAATTCCAGCGGAAATACTCGATGATGTCTGCCATGGCTGTGGCTTGGTGCTCATCATTGGGAATGGTTCGGAGGAAGGACTTGAATTGATTCTTGTTGCTGAGGAGTCTGCTGGAGGAGGCATAACTGACCTGGAGAGAACCAAGGACACAATGAATGAATGAATGAGTGAGGGAGGGAGGTAGGGAGGGAGGGATGGAGGAGGTGCTAAGGGATCCTCCAGGCTGTTGTGGAGGTGGCTTTCTGAGCCTTGGTCTCATTTATCAACTACGCTGTTCACTATGTGCAGGATGAAAGGGGGAGGAAAACCAGCATCTGTTCTACTCCAGTGTGAGCACTTAAGCACCTTTTGGTCTATGAGGAAGCATCCTAATTCCCAGTGGATGATTCTTCATAATGCTACTTTCAAAATTGGGTCTGGCTATAAAATCAACCCAACAATAGTGGGATGTACTTAGCCTTTCTAGAAGAGTCTTCATGCACCATTTCACGTTTCCTCTAACCTCCTCTGTGCTGCCTCACTGGTCATAATATATCCATGTACATATCTTTGGCCTCTTGAGTCAGCTTCTGATCTGAACAATTTAACTTCCCTTTACTGCAATAAACACTTTGTCCACAATCCAATTCTGGAAAGAATCAGGTTCCCTGTGGGTTATAAACTTCAGGCTCTTCAGAGGAGTCCCAGGGAATTCCCTTTTCTTCTTCTGCCTAATTTCTCTCTTGCCATCCTCTGATTATTCCCCCTTTTCCCTCTCCTCCCCACACCCCAGTACTTTAGAAAAAAGTAACCTTAATTGCAGTCATTTTTGAAACTGTTTTTTAGACTCCATTAGACTGTTAGACTCAACCCCTCTGCACCACAATAACAGTGATGTATGTCATTAAATATCAGAAAAACTTCCTTTCCTCTCCATCCCACTATTGTTGGATTGATTTTTTGGCCAGACCCACTTTTGAAGGTAAAGAACCTTCTATTGGGAAGCACCATCCAGAGCCCTCTCCTTTCTTCAGTTACAAGTGATGACTGAGCCTGCTTGACAGGCTTTTGTTGTGGGTCTCGAAAATCTTATAGAGGCTGAACAGGAGCCCTGGAGAAGCTGTCTTGACACGTTTCCACTCTCTAAGACATAGCCACTTATCCATCTGAGCAAGAGTATGGACTACCAAGGGAAGAAAGTCTTGCCCTTGATGTTAAGAGATTGTTGCTTAAAGAAGTAGCCAAATACCACGTAAAGCATTCATTAGTGCAGAGCTTTCCCACTTCTTTTCACATTATGGCAACACATGGAGCAAATGGAAGAAGTTGATCAACCCTGGTGGGAGTGCTCTGACCACCCAGGCCCCATCAGACCACCCCAAAGCTTGAGGGGATCCATATCTTGAGAGGATCCAAATGAGACTAGCTTCAGCTCATTTCAGCACTCTGTGTCATCATGGCTCACCACTTAGGAAGTTCCAAGTTATGGGATCATTTCTTCTGAAGGACAAAACATTTTTACACAAATAAATTTTTTTCTAGAAAATGAAGTAGTAGCTTCATATCTTGTGTTCTCTAGTTTTTCCTGAGAGATTTTAAACTTCTTAAGAAAACAAGTCGAAGGAATTTGGGAGAATGTGTTTTTAATATTTCTCACCAATTGAAACACTTTTCTATGTCCAATATTTTTAAATAAAAATTTCCAATGTATTTCTTCTTACTGATGAATAGTTTCTACATTAGAAACATAAAAGTCATTGGTCTGTGAAAAAATTAGGCCAACTTTGCTAAAAAACAAGTGTAATTTATTTCTGGCAAGTGCTTTTATTTTAGAAGGTATAGTATAAAATGTATTATTTTTTCCTTCATCAGAACAAGCTCTTCTTGAAATATCACAGAACTTCATGAGGCAGGTGGTTTAATTAAGTAATTTGCTTAGATGTTACTGTTTTTTGAGAAGTTGGTTAGCAGACCAGAATAATAGGCCTCTGAATCAGATTTTTGCAAATACAAAACCTACCATTTAAAAAAATACATCTATTATTGCTTGCTTCTTGATTTTCTTTTCAAAAATAGGCCAAAAAGGCTTTAAAGGAATAAAAATAAAAAAACAATAATATTCCTCATGGATATGTTCTCTTAAGGAATATATTTATAATTTTACCAAGTTTTTAAAAAGCAACTCTAAAGTGGAGTAAACACAATTTTGTGTCACTTAGAAACTTTTTTTATTATAAGAGGGGAGAATTTCACTAATGATTCAGAAAACTGTTCCAACCGCAATTTGTTCTAGCTGGTCTGCTTGTTCCATCCACTTGGTGGCGTGGCTGGCATGAGAAATACTCCTGGGTCCTGACCCCACCTGGCAGGGCAGTGGTTCCCAGCCCTGCTGCACATTAGACTCACCTCCAGAGCTTTAAAACCTCCTGACATCCAGGCTGCGTCTCAGCTCAATTAAACCATGATCTTTGGGGAGTGGGACTTAGGCATCAGTATTTTTTAAACTCCCCAAGTGATTCCAATAGGTAGCTATGGCAGATAACCCCTACTGTGGATAGACTTATATTGGTTTGATTGATAATCAAAGCACTTTTATAAATTCAACTTAACCTTATCTTTCATCCAAACCACAAAGAATTAACACCCTGCTCCCTTCATGTTCTTTCTTTACTTGACATCTTAGCCTGTTGGCCATGGGGTAACCATAACTTACTTTAACTATGTATCTAAAATAATACTGCACAATATGCTAAATTTAAACACATGCAGCACATTTACTGATACAGGCTTTGTCATATCACTTTGGCACAAAAGTTACAAAGCCAGGGATTCCCCATGGGAAACACCTTTAATTCTCTGAAGTAAGGAGTCCATAAATGGTGATAAGACTATCTCTTGCCTCACGTATGTAAAGAGATAATGGCAATCACCAAAAAAATGGAGCCTCCCGACAAAGAAATGTGAATTTATCAAAGGTATTCTCATGAATTTTAAATATTAAACATTGAAAGAAATAAATTTAAGGTGTAATTTATAATTTAATTTCAAGCTTGATATAAGGATGTATCACAATTGAGCTGATTCTCCCACCCACAGACATTTAGGTTGTTTCCAATTTTTCACTATTGCAAAATGATATCATAGATTTATAAATATTAAACTGAAAAATTATTTGCTCTATGGTGTTAAGGGGAAAAAGGTTATAAAATGGCATTTCACATTTATCTTTTTTTGCTGAAAAAATGTACCACCGAATGTTTATTAAAGCACTCGCTTCAGTAAACTGTTAGTATATGAAAATGCAACCATCTCTCCACCTAGGCTGAGTTCCTGCCAAGTGGAGACTGCTTATACATAGATACACAATAAATATTTGTTGAATGAAATAGAATTTTCTCCATTTCTGGAATGTGCAACACAATGATTAAGATCCTGTTTTGTGAGAAAATATGCTCTGCTTCACTCTGAGCTAAAGTTTCAACTAGACAGTAGAGAAGCAGAGACTTTTAAGGAAATGGAATTAGGGACAGATATTTTTGATTTGCGAGGTGGGATGTACCTCACATCCTCTCATTCCCTTTAATAAAAGCAGAAGGAAAAAACGCATTTACTAAAGGAATAAATGGGAAAGAAATAATTGAATGCCTCTTTTTTTAAAAAGACAGTTTTATGCAAGGTACGTTTAAAAGAATTTTGGAAGAGTAATGAAGGTATCGTTGACCTGGTGAACGCTGGAGTTTCAGAAATCCCAAATGCTCATGATACAGCACACCAACTACATCATAGGTCTTTTATTTCAGAGATAGGAAAATAGCGAACCGCATGGACATTGGGCATGGCACTCCCAAGCCTGCTTCTTCTGATCCTGCTCCCAGGGCCCCATCTGAGAAGACGCGAGTACCTGGGGAATGTAGAAGAGCCCCAGCAGATTCGCCACTGCCGTGGAGACGCCTGAGCCAGTTGCTCCCACCACAGCGATGGTAGAGGGAATGTGCTCTGAGCAGTTGCAGAACTCATCAAGGTTCAAAGAATCGATTTTGTTTTGAGCAACAAAACTCAGGGTGGCTTCCAAGGCCTTGGAAACGGTGTTGCAAGTGTCAAATATCCTGTATCCCAGCGTCAAGTTGGGAAGAAGGGCTGGGCTGCTGTTTATCTCCTCTATGGCAAATATCATAGCCTGCAACCAGCGAAACCCGCGGAAATTATACCTGGAAGAAAGAAGAAGTGGAAGAAAATGGGAAGCTTTCTAGTCAACAACTTTAGAGTAAAGACTATCGAACTATTACTACTCTCTGGCTTCATGGCATGCTCTGTACAGAGCCCTCTCTGTTAAAACAGGGATGACAAGGACGGGCCTGGTGGCCTCACGCCTATAATCCCAGCACTCTGGGAGGCCGAGGCGGGTGGATCACTTGAGGTCAAGAGTTGGAGACCAGCCTGGCCAACATGGCGAAGCCCCGTCTCTACTAAAAATACAAAATTTAGCCAGATGTGGTGTCAGGCGCCTGTAATTCCAGCCACACAGGAGGCCGAGGCAGGAGAATTGCTTGAATCTGGGAGATGGAGGTTGCAGTGAGCTCAGATTCCACCACTGCACTCCAGCCTGGGTGATAGAGTGAGACTCCATTTCAAAATAAATAAATAAATACATAAAAAATCAAGGGAGCTGACACTTGCCTCATAGGGTGGCTGTGCAGATGATGACATGAGATAATTATGCAAAGTCTTCATCAGGTGCCTCACACAGAGACAGGGGGCAATAATGATAACAATAAAAATAAAAGATTGCTGTTTGCAATTCATTGGATAATTGGTATCTGTCTTCTCCAGCAATGAATTTGAAGTAGCTGATGTGAAGTGCTTAAATAAAAGCAATATGTAGACATACAAGAAAAGGACCAGGGGAAATATAAATAGATCAGGATATTAATATGTGGGTTCCTAAAAATAACCTCAGATCAGATTGCAGAGTCATAGGTTTAGACCATGACATTCCTGAAGGTCAAGGGGAAACAGACATGAATAATCTCATTTTTGTAAACAAATAACAAACATGTGAAGGCTGTACATAGACAGTAGTTATTCTGGGGTGTACAACTGTGGTCATTTCTGGGTGGTGGAATGTTGAGTTTTAAAATTATGTGCTTTTGGTTTATTTATACTTTATATCTAAAAAAATGAACATGGATTGCTTTTCAAAGAAGAACATTTTAACAAGTTAGCAAGAGAAACAGGGTCAGTGACATAGTTTTCACTTCCCCAGCACTTTGCTCAGAGTGAGGGCTCAGTAAACGTGCTGAATCGGTGTATTTGTGACCAGAGGAAAAAACAACTCTGCAGATTTTTTCTTTATATTGTGAGTTTCACTACTTGAACTCAGTGACAGTGACAGGAGGTGAGACATATGATCTTTTACACTCCATTGTATAATTAGGTCCTCTAAGCTCTTGGTCTAACTTTAAATGTGACATTTTCTGTTTACAATTTTCTTTATGTTTCCTTCATTTATTTGTTTTAAACCTACAAAGTTATTATGAGATATTACAGTTTTTTTTACATTAAACATCTATGCTGTTAATCTAATTTTATCTTTGACATAATTTCAAAAATATATTATTTTTGGGCAAGCCTTTTGCTTGATCTTAGGTCTGTATATACATAGCACATGCACAGCTCTGTGCAGCAGGGTACAACAGAGCATTTGTCCACACAGGTTATGTGAAGGGTACCATCAGCATCAGTGCAATTCTGCACTTAGTTTTTCTGCATTCATAAGAAAAGTGTGAAAATGTTATCTAATTTACTAGCTCTCATTAGAACATGAACAGAAATCCAGTTTTGTGGGAACCATCCTAGTTTTCATTTTCATTTTCCAGGTATTGGGAAGAGCAAGAAAAAGTGCTGGATCCCTTCTGGAAGTTACAAGTCCCTCTGGAAGATGGGTCAAGATTTGGAGTGCAGTCATAATCTCCAGTGTAGATTAGGGGAGGTGGTATACAGTCCCATTGTATTCTGCAGAAGTCAGATCCTATTTGAAAGACATGTTCCTCACCCTGGAGACTATATTCTAAAAGGGTCACAATAAATTAGGGGGCATCAGATGAAGACAACCAGGATGATGAAGGGTCTGGAAAGCATATCATGGGATGAGAAAACAGACTATGTGGCTTGGAGAAGAAAATATTTGATGAGATATAATAGCTCTCTTCAAGTGGCTGCAGAGAGAATCTATTCAGAGAGTTAGGTGCATTCTGTCTTAGCGGGGTGGGATGAGGGGTGGGGAGAGTGGCGATGGGGGATAACGTTTCTATGCAAAAGACTTTCTAATGGCGGTAGTTCCAAAATGCAATGGACTATATTTTACATTTTGAAGATGCCTGGGTCATGCTGACTGTGGTGGTTTCTTTCAACTTGAATGCCTTTTAAAAAAAGAAAGAAAGAGAGAGAGAGAGAGAGAGAGAAAGAAAGAAAGAAAGAAAGAAAGAAAGAAAGAAAGAAAGAAAGAAAGAGAGAGAGAAAGAAAGAAAAAGAAAGAAAGAAGAAAGAAAGAAGAAAGAAAGAGAAAAAGAGTGAGGCAGCCAGCACTCAGATATTACCACTCATTGAAGTATGTAAGATCAATGGGGGATTTTAGTACTCAGGTTTGCAAGACCTACAATACATTCCCTTCTAGGTACTTAGTCCTCCATTAAGCAACACTGCTGCCAGGTGAACAATAATAACTTGGTCACCAAATGATCGCTAGGTGCTTTAACAGGTCATGCGTGGATTTTCTACTCAATATCGTTGACATTTTATTTAAAAAGAAGTCTTCAGGGAAAAAAAAGGCAAATTATGGGGGGCAATAAGCTCCAGCATGATTACCAATTAATCACTATTTTTGACAAGAGAGAACGAAGTTTGAAAAAATTATATTGCGTTTGGTGTAGCTTTTCTCCAGCCACTCAGAAGAGAAGAGACTGGATTAGGCCCCTCTTCTCACCTGATACATTCCACAGACTCCGGCCTTGATTTGAGATCTTGATCTTTGGCTGCTACTCCAAAATGAATAGGAAAGAGCCCCCCAAGGATAATGTCCCCTTTCTTTTGGGCTCGCTGGTCAGGTCCGTAGGCAGAGGTGTGCCAGGTGAGTGCCAAGAGGACCCAGCAGCAGCTATAAAATGCCATGGTTCCACCGTCTCTCCAGGGTGAGGGACAAGACAGCTAGGAGTTTGGAGGCTCCCAGAACTTTCCCCCTTGGAGCAGTTCACTCTCTTCAGTGGGGACACATGTCTACAGAGTGATTAATGGAAGAATAGAAGACGTGGTGTTCGAATCTCCATTTCTGCCTTCTTCATTGCAGACTTGTAAGGTGGGTGGTCCTTGAGTCTTTGGAAGCCACATCATGTAGAGACCTCCTGTGATGCCTTCTAAAAGAAAAGAAAGACAAAATGGATGCAGCAAAACCTAAATCCCATCTTGTTATGACTACTGGGACTGAGGTGGCTCAGAATTTCCATTTAGAGGTGGCATATTGAAAAGGCCTGGCTTGGAGTCGCATTTTTATAGCACTCATGTAAAATACAGGAAATGTCAATTGCCCATATTGGGGAAGAACTGTGTTAGGTTATGAGAGGTCGAATTTTAAAGAGGCCGTTGATAACCTAAGACCTCTGCTGGTGCTGATGCTGGATTTTAATTCATTCATTCTCCTGTGTGAATGAGGAATAAAGTTGGCCTATTAGTAGCCGCAGCTCCTTTTATTATAATAATACTACCAATATTTTATTCAGCATGTAAGTTCTTACAGAAAATATAGAACGAGGCCGAGTGCAGTAACTCATGTCTGTAATCCCAGCACTTTGGGAAGCTGAGGCAGGTGGATCACCTGAGGACAGGAGTTCAAGACCAGCCTTAGCAACATTGTGAAACCCTGTCTCTACTTTGAAAAATTCAACATTAGCTGGGCGTGGTGGTGCACACCTGTAATCCCAGCTACTTGGGAGGCTGAGGCTGGAGAATCACTTGAACCTGGGAAGTGGAGGCTGCAGTGAGCCTAGATCATGCCATTGCACTCCAGCCTGGATAACAAGAGTGAAACTCTGTCTCAGAAAAAAAGAAATAAAATATAGAATGAGTCATATGTAAGCTTAAATCTGACTTGGAACCACACAAAAATGTTGAAAAAGACCACTTATTCTTTATTTTTTTATTTTAAATTTATTGTACTTTAATGTTTTTATACTATTATTTTATTATTATTATTTTTTGAGATGGAGTTTTGCTTTTGTTGCCCAGGCTGGAGTGCAGTGGTGCGATCTCGGCTCACCACAACCTCCACCTTCCGGATTCAAGCAATTCTCCTGCCTCAGCCTCCTGAGTAGCTGGGATTACAGGCATGTGCCACCACACCTGGTTAATTTTGTACTTTTAGTAGAGATGGGGTTTCTCCATATTAGGCTGGTCTGAACTCCTGACCTCAGGTGATTCACCTGCCTTGGCTTCCCAAAGTGCTGGGATTATAGGCATGAGCCACCATGTCCAGCCTCTTATTTTTTTATGATAGGCCCCCTTTTTTTGTGCAGGTCTCTGGTTCCGATTTGTAATATGACACTCTATAAGCCTTTTAAGAAAGTTCTTGTAGAGGATTCAGAGAAATAATGAATTAGATTGTGTTTTATAAAGATCAACAGCTGGATATAGGAGAAAGCCCTCCTGCTATACCCTTAGTAGAGTAGGAACTGCTCTTTCACTCTCCACCCTATCTCACCCACCCTGTGAGTCAATTACCAATTACAGTTTGATGGGGCTAAATATCCAGCCTATCTTGAAGTTCATGGCCAAGCACTGGACTGTCAACTGGACATGGCCACCTGGATGTTCCACAGGTGCTTTGAATGTAACAGGCCCTAAACTCACCTTTACCGAACTTGTTCTCTTTCACTGTTTTCTATCTCAGAAGATCACATGCCATCCACAGAGACACAAATAGGAGCCATCTTTGCCTCCTTTCTATTCTCATCATTGTCCTTCATATTTTAAAAACCCCCAAGCCCTATAGATTCTACTTCCTAAATCTCTCTGGAATCCATTTACTCCTCACCATTTCCAAGACTATTTTCAGTCCACCATCACTTATTTTCTTCTTTCTCTTTCGTTCTTACTTTTTCTTTCTTTTTTCTTTCTTTCTCCCTGTTTCCTTCCTTCCTTCCTTCCTTCCTTCCTTCCTTCCTTCCTTCCTTCCTTCCTTCCTTCCTTCCTTCCTTCCTTCCTTTTGAGGGAGGGAGGGAGGGAAGGAAGGAAGGAAGGAAGGAAGGAAGGAAGGAAGGAAGGAAGGAAGGAAGGAAGGAAGGAATCTGGCTTTCTTTCGAGACAGAATCTGGCTCTGTTGCCCAAGCTGGAATGCAGTGGCGCCATCACAGCTCACTGTAGCCTCAACCTTCCAGATTCAAGCAGTCCTCTCACCTATGCGTCTTGAGTGGCTGGGACTACAAGCACATGTTACCACACCTGGCTAATTTTTAAATTTTTTTGTAGAGATAGGGTCTCACTCTGTTGTCCACAGCTGGCCTTGGACTCCTGGGCTCAAGTAATCCTCCCACCTTGGCCTCCCAAAGTGCTAGGGTTGCAGGTATGAGCCACCATGCCTGGCCCTACCATCATTTTTAACCTGGATTTCTGCAACTATTTCTTAAGTGGCATTCCCATCTCCACTTTTGCTCTTTTGCAATTTGCAGATCTTTGGATGCCACAGGACAAGTGGTTTGGAATACAGGCTCTGGAGTTAAACTTGGCTTTGAATCATAGTCCTCTACTTTCTAATATGACTCTGGGCAAGTCACTTAATGTCTGTGATCCAGACAAAAAATGCATGAAGAGTCATTAGCACAATGTAACTAGTAAACTCACAGAAAATGCTGGCTTTAATGAATACCCTTCCACTGTTGTTAGACTTCTTTCTGAATGTCACACTCCAGCCTTGCCGAACTTCAGTTCTCCAAGTACATCAGGCTTTTAAAATGGTCAGATGTCACACGTGCTGTTCCCCTCCTTGGTCCCTCTGGCCTAAACTAGGCCTATTAAACTTTCAGTTTCCAGATGTTTATAATTCTGGGCGTGACTGAGTGAACTGTGGGCCTTTGGGCAAATGAGGAAAAGAGCTCCTTCTGGGGCACACACAGCTTGAGTCAAAGTGCACATCTTCAGTGGAAGACAGGTTGGACTTTAGCCCACATTAACCCCTCAGTTGTGCAGTGAGCAATCTGCAAGGCTTTTGAAGGAGGACTTCGCTGAACCTTTAGGTGAGGGAGGTCTACCTGTAAGAACGTAGTCTCTTATGTCTTAGATCTTGGAGCTTCCCTCTTGGAAGGTTCATCACACTTTATTATAGTTATGTTCATAAATATCTGATTCTAGAGCCAATCTCTCTCTTTTTTTTCTTGTTTGTTTTAGACGGAGTCTTGCTCTGTTACCAGGCTGGAGTGCAGTGGCACAATCTCAGCTCACTGCAAACTCTGCCTCCCAGGTTCAAGCAATTCTGCCTCCGCCTCCCAAGTAGCTGGGACTACAGACAGGTACATGCCACCACGCTTAGCTAATGTTTGTATTTTTAGTAGAGACTGGGTTTCACCATATTGTCCAGGCTGGTCTCGAACTCCTGACCTCGTGATCCACCTGCCATGGCCTCCTAAATTGCTGGGATTACAGGCGTGAGCCACTGTGCCTGGCCCCAGAGCCCAAACTCTTAATGGTTGTCATATGGTGCCTCTTGCTCCTTAGGAATTCCACCTTTTCCTCTAATACCATTCCTAGCAGAGTGTGATGGGCCTCAGATGGAAGGAACACCCCAGCAGACACTCAACTTTCATGGAATTGCCTCCTGTAATGTCTGAACATCCATGGCCATCCCACTTTTCTGACCCTAGTCCTGCTTTTAGATTTTTGGCTTCATTCCTTGGATCTGGTCATATGTTCACTCATACATATAATAAGTACATGTGCTGGGAATATAAAGGTGACAACACATGTTTATATCCTCAGGAGCTCCCAGTCCAGTGGGTAGGCACACTGGTCTAAATGATCAGAAGCTACCTTAACTCAGAAGTGAAAAAAAATTGTAACTTTTTTTTTCTGAATTCAACTTTGCCCTCCAGCACTTACTTAGTACAGTGTCTGAAATAGTAAATGCTGAATAAATGTTTGTGAAATGAAAGCATTTAAAAAGAAAGTACTTTGGAAAGAGATAGAAACTAGCATTTATTGATCCAGGCATTGTGCTAGGTCTCTTAAAGATTCTATGTATTTTATACTTCACAATCATTTTGTAATGAGGGTAATACCAACTCCAATTTCTAGATGGGGAAATGGATTCTTTGTATATTCAGCTTACTTGAGTGAGCAGCTCTGGCACTTGACTTAAGAATGCCTTAAGAATTCAGAATTTTAAGGAGTCCCGTGGACTGAATTAGGTAGGAGAGGGAACATTATAACTGGCTAGGGTTAGTCACTGAGACCTGTTAAATTTTTCCTGTGAAATATTAACTACTTGGAGAACTTTATTAACTTAATTAGTTAATTCAACAGAAAATTAATGGCAAGAAGGAATAGAAATATTTGGGGTCAATTTGCAGCAGTTAACTCTCTCAGTCTAATGTATTCTTCAAACCACCCTTCTGAGTTCACTTGCCAGGGTCGAATTTGCTTTCAAAGCTAAGATCCTCCATCTCCCTGTTCTCCAACATCCAGTCCCCGGTCCTGTGATTCTGTCATTGCTTTCCACTTTGGCTTCTCCTACACACTCCTGTGACCAGTGCCTTTGTCCAGGCTCCCATCACCTCCCACCCTCTGTGTTGCAAAAGTTTTCTTTTCTTTGTACTTGATTCTTGTTTGCCCCTCATCCCTTCTCTCTGCTTCCTCTGTTCTGCTCCATGGAGGTGGATATGACAGCTGGAGACCATCTTGAACAAGGAGCTACATCCTAGGGAATGAGCTAAGCAGTTCATAGAGCAGAACCTTAATATTGATCTTTTGCATGACAGAGAAAAAAAGCTTCTTGCTGGTTTAAACCATTGTTATGATATATATTTTTTTCTTACTGTAGTTATCTCCAACACTATCTAGCTAAGAATCACCAAATAAACTCATTTGTTCTCCTTACTATACATTTATTCCATTTAAATCACATATAATCATGTTTGCCCTCCTGCAAATGAGTATTACAAACAAAGCTGAAGCTAATATTTGTTCTTTCTCTCCATGGTAGATACATCTTGGAAAAAGAAATGGCCCGTGCACCAGCTGCTTTTATGTTTAGAAAGTTCTTGACATCAGGAGGAGTGTTTCAGTAGGGACAGATAATGGCTTATTGGGTTTTTCAGCCAAGGATCGGACGTGAGGGCAGACCAGTCAGTGGGTTCCATGAGTTCATGGA